ACTGACAATAAATATCAGCAATACTTAATAAAACATAAGATACAGAAAGGCTATATTCAAAGCTTTTGTTTTTACTATCAAATAACATAAGATGTAAATTTCTAAATCAAGAACTTAAAGAAGTAACAAGAAAAGTAATTAAAGTAGAAAATTATTTCAAAAATTATTTGAAAATAATGAATTAAAATCTGATATGAATTAGAAAATACTATAAGAAATAATGTTTGTAAAAGAAAAATCAATCTAAGAAAAATGTTAAATAAAACCAAGAAATGAAAAGTAAAATGTTATAGATTCAGGACAATTTTAAAGAATAAAAATAAAAATATATACATATATAAATGTTTGAGATCAATGTTAGAAAACCTGGAAGAAATGGGTAACTTTTCAAAGATATAGTATGTAAATGATTTTTAAAAACAACTCTTGGGAAATGTAAAAAAATTGAATAAATCTGTAGTGATGAAATAAGTAACAAACGCATCAACAAGTTACTTCTCCAGCCTCAGATATCTTTATGATCTATACTAGATATAGGAAAAAAAGTGAAAGCTGTACATTTCATCTTATGAAGCTATCATAATTTTGCTAACAAAACCAAACAAAAAGCAACAGTCATTGGCACAACCTCAGGTACATCCATGCCATGATCTTAAATTAAAAAAAAAAAAAAAAGACTGAATGCAACAACTTGGGGAAATCTTAAGGAATGTTAAGGAATTGTGCTGGAGTGAAAAAAGCCAATCTCAGAGGATTACATATTATATGATTCCATTTATATAATATTCTTGGAATGATAAAATCACAGAAATGAAGAACAGATTAGTAGTTGGCTGGGTCAGGAGTGAAAAGAGGATGAATATAATTACAAAAGGAAAATGTGAAGGATCCATGTATTAATGAAACTTCTTCCACTGAATGTGGAAGTGGATACATGAATTTGCACGGTGATAAAATTGAATAGAACTAAATACACACAATTACACATAAAAGTAGGGAACTTGGGAATTTAAAAAAAAAAACTATGGGCAAAACTCACTTGACTTCTAAAAAACACTTATTTAAAAATGAAATGTTTGGAATTGGTGATGTGCTCAGTGGTGGAATGAATGCTTAACACTCAGGACCCTGTATTTGATTCCTACCACTAAAAAAAGAAATGTTAAATTAGACATGTATTTAGAATGACCCACCACAATTAAATAGATTTTTCTCCCAAAGATGTAAGGGACATTTACTATTAGCAAACCTGTGATCACTAGAATCTTTTTAAAAAAAATTTTTTTTTAGTTATAGATAGACACAATACCTTTATTTTATTTATTTATTATTTATTTTTATGTGGTGCTGAGGCTTGAACTCTGTGCCCCCACATGTGCTGACAAGCGCTCTACCACTGAGCCACAAAGCCAGCCCCTATCACTAGTAACTTAACCAATAGTTTATAAGGTGTTGAAGAATTTCAGTTGACAATTTTAAGAAATGTTAAATAGTACTTAATAAAAATCAAATACATATTTATGTATTTTTTAATTTAAAATTTTTTAGTTATATATGGACACAATACATTTATTTTATTTATTTATCTTTATGTAGTGCTGAGGATGGAACCCAGTGCCTCACACATGCCAGGCGAGCACTCTACCACTGAGACACAATCCCAGCCCTCATATTTATATTTTAAAAATAAAAAAGCATTTGAATAAAAAGGCAATTCCAAAATATGAGATGTTATCACCAATATTACAAGAAAAGAGTTAAAAATATAAAAGTCCTTCAAAATTATCATTTGCAAATGAAAATCAAAGAGGATGTACTTAAAACATGGGATGTAGCAGCTTATGGGGCTTAGTAAAAAGGTCATCCTACTATGAATGTGTGTTACTCAGCTTTGTATTACTGTGACAAAATACCTGAAATGATCAATTTATAAGTAGGAAAGATGTATTTTGACTCACAGTTTCAGAAGTGTCACCTATGGTCACTTGACCCTGTTGCTTTGGGCCAGTGGCAGCACATCACGACATGATTGCATGGAAGAGAAGGCCCATTGACCTCATGGTAACCAGAAAACAAGAAGACAGACCAGAAGAGACTGAGGTCTCAATATCCCCTTCAAGGTCATCTCCCTAATAATCTAACTTTCTTCCACTAATCTCTACTTCCTAAAGGTTTACCACCACCCAACAGCACTATCAACTGTGAACCAAACCTTCAACACACAGGCCTCTGGGGAACATTTAAAGATGCAAAATTTAATAGAATGCGAATGTGTTTTCATGGTCTAATAAAGACTTTCTTAAAACAATGGACGTCATCATATTTTGCAATTGGACCTTCATTGTTTTCCCTCCTCTTATTTAACATTGTTTTGGAAGTTCTCACCAACATTACAAAAAAGGAGATAAAAATTAAGAAGCCCTTGTAAAGGAGTCAGAGTCATCATTATTTGCAAGTGAAAATCAAAGGGAATATACTTGAAAAGTAGCTTACTTGATAGCAGCACTTAATATTAAGCAAAGTTGACACAATGACTATATAAAAAAATGAGTTTTTACCAAAAACTTTTGGCTTTGGGAGATTCTAAACAAAATCTCAATTGAACTACTTTGGAACTTAATAAAATTAATATCAGTTCATCTGGAAAAAATTAAATAATTAGACAGGAATACTTTTAAAATCTTGAAAAAGAGGAAGAGGAAGCTTACCCTACAGACATTGGCTGGAATAATGTGATGCCAGTGAAAAATTCACAGATCATTGGAACAGAAAAAAATATTCCTGAAACAGTAGTATTAAAAAAAACCTTATATGTAGTGAAATAATAGGGAATAGATGATTTGGGAAAATGGGCTCTTTGAGAAAATAATAAAATTAAAATCTCACATAATACCAAGTAAGTTTAAGAAAGATGAAAGATTTAATATTAACAATTAACTCAAATTTTTAAAAAGCAAGAATAATGCATTTAAACATTTACCTCTCCAACAGAGGAGTAATGATTTACATACCTTAATGCATGGGAATATAGAAATTTTTGTGTATTAGAAAACAAAGCAAATGTGAAAGCTAAGTGTAACTAAGCACACATTTAAATAAATAAGAAAATTTTAACATCCCATTACCAAGAGCAAAAAGGGAACAGACATATCAGACTCTCTCTAATGAAGCTGACCAAAATATATGTGTGAAACATTTTCTTCTATCAATTCCATAGTAAATTCTAATTCATGATTATTTACCATTTAACTTTCTTAAGAGTTCTTTCAAAATTACTCAGCATTTGTGAGAATATTATAAAAACATGATAAATGTACTGTGGTAAGAGGATATATCTGTACTGCTATCACAAAGATAGCTTTTTATTATAGATCAATAATTTTAAATAACTTTTCTAACTTTTAGCTCAATAATCAATTCAATTTTTTAGTAATTATACTAAAAAAATTACCATATATTCATAAATATAAAGAAACTTCTTTAATTTATAAACATCTATGTATTTACTTAAATAATAAAGTCTACTTTTAATAGTTATTAATTTATTTTTTACTTGTATGTTTAAATTTTTATGTTATTTAAACATGTTGATATGCTTGGGGCTTTTTCAACTCACATTTTTGTCTTTTTCAAATTCTTTACTTGTATTTTTGACAATCACTACCATCACTTTTTTAAAAATCACCCCAATAGTGGTTTTATTAAGTTAGTTACTTTATAAAATGTTGCAGGGGTCATAATTGTTAACAGCTTTCTCAAACTGGTTAACTGGTGCACTTTGCATCAGTATTTTATATAACATTACATTCTTCCCCATATTTTTATTGGTGCATTTAGTTGTACATAATGGTGAGATTTGTTGTTACACATTCATACATGCACACAATATAACAATATAATTTGGCCAATATTATTCCCAATCTTTCTTAGGCTAATGGTTTTTTGAAGCTTTCCAGTTAGACATGTAGCCTTCTCCAAATCTGTATGAGATGCTGTCTTGGCAAATTTTATTGCAAGTTACAAATATTGATATATAACATTAGAAGAGTTGTTATTTACCTTTGTCCTGGGGTGGAGAATTTTTTTTAATCTTCATAACAAAACAACTTCCTGGATAAGTTTTTATAGAACTCTTCAAAAGGCTATTTCTAATGACAGCTAACACTTGATATTTATAACTTCATACTTGCCAGATGACTTTCTAAATTTATGTAAAATTTCTTTGCCTGCTTTTGTTAGGTGACATCCAAAAATATCTATAATTAGCATTGATTGAGGTCAGGTAAGGTTCATCTATCTTCACCAAACATTATATCTTGTTCAAAAGAGAGTAATTCAGAGATGGTCCTATAGAACAAAAGATGTCTTTTTAAAAAAATTTAATAACTGTCTCTTTTAAGAGAGGCAATTTTTAAAGAATAACTTTTACCCTATATAGGAACATATACAGGTATCATATATACCACAAGGATTTAGGAACAAGAGTATTGAAGCATTATTTTAAAACAATTTTTTTAAAGTCAAATATCTAGTTACTGAAATTAATTATTAATTGTTATTCACCCATTGCACTTACTACCATAAACTCATTAAAATTCTGTGTTAGAAGGATATTTAATAACTTAGGGAAATGATCATGAAATAATAATTGAAAAAATTCTTATAACAAAATTGTACCTTCAGTTGTGGAGAAAATATATAGAGATTTGCATATGTGCAGGGGAAAAGACTAGGGGGAAATCACCAAAATAATTTGGTGATTATTTTTAGGTTGTGACATTAGGGATGATTTGGGTTATCTTCATTCAAGTAATGAGCAAATTCATAATGCTCCTGTCCCCATCTAGCTAGATGAGTTTGGAGTAGACTTTTTAAAATGTGGTGGCGGGAGTGGGGCACAGGAATAAGCATGAATCCTGAGCCCTGTAACGTTTCCTTACCTTACCAACTCCAATTGGCCTGCTCTCACAGTATGCTTTGCTTCACCTGTCTGTCTGCAGTCTTTTTTTGTGGACCACAACAGTCGAGCTACCACTTTCATTGACCCCCGAATCCCTCTTCAGAATGGTCGTCTTCCCAATCATCTGACTCATCGACAGCACCTCCAGAGGCTCCGAAGTTACAGCGCTGGAGAGGTAATGAACCCCATATCACCAGCACCACCCCAGTCCTACTGCACACCATTCACAGTCTCTAATCTGGTGAGGCCAGAACTATTTCTTAGTGACCAGGATCTATGGTTATCTGCTCCATGGAAATGAAGTCATGCATATACTATGCTCTAGAAAAATGAATGACCACTGTGGTGGACCCACTTATCCCTCCACATTTGTCTTCAGATTGCCTTCCTTCTGCCTTCCTATTTGTCCAAATCACCACTACTAAAAATTGATGTAGTGTAAGGAAACTGAAAATGCAGTCAGGAGATCCCACAGTTCTGCCTGTAGCTGCCCCTGCTGAGGTCTGCCAATCACCTGTGAATAGTGAGGAGACTATGGAATTGCTATGCAGTGTATGACTAGCTTTAAAAGTCTACCTCCATACCTCCATTTAAGATCCTGGAGAAGACTTCAGGAAAATGTATACATTGACTAAAAATTGGGGGGAAATTAGTAGGCCCCAGGAATACTCTATAGCTCTTTTATACTTCCAATCAGTTCCTGATAATATTATGAGCAAATCACTTTTTTTAATCCCCCCCCCAAATCTGGGCCCTCTTTTCACAGAAACCACCAGGATCTCAGAAGATAGGGGATCTGAGAACAATTTCCCATAAAATAGCTTGTAGAATTGGATTACAATGAAGTGGGGGAAAGGGGTGTAGGGAAGAAAGGAATATGTATTTCTTCCCCACAGAAAGTGTTTCCAGAGAGGGCCGCAGGGCTGTCTCAGGAAAAACTGGGAAGATTGCAATCTGCCTGGCAGCCATTCCCTCCAGATAGCAAATCTAAGTCTCAAGGGAGGAAGGATCCTGTCATTGATGTATGGAACTGATGATGTACTACTTTCTCAGGAGTAGTCCTCTGTGTAGTCTGAGAGATGTAACTGTTTCCACACAAGAGCACTTACGACTTCATGCCAAAATGGGCGACAAAATGAATTTTTCTTTCATGGGTTCACCTTAGGTGCTATTGTTTTAAAATCCTGCTGAAGCATGTTATATGTTTCCTTCTGTACATACATGTGAATGTGGCCATGCAGAGAGGAGTATTATACATCCCTGAGCATTGCATGGGTACCAGGCCCCTCTAGGTGAAGATGTTTTTATAGACTAGAGAAAGCAATGCCCCGGTGTCTCAACACATCATGCATAGTTCCCCTCCATACTGGCACTTTTATAACACTTCAGAAAGAAACTGTGTTTTAGTCATCTTGTACTTCAGAAAGTACTTCTAGAAATTATACAAGAATAAATTCTAAATTCCACATCAATTCAAAATATGCTATTTTACTTTATTTAAAATGTCCAAGCTCCTTAATATCATTGAGGAAATTTCAGTATTAATATAACTATAAGTTATAAGGAAGCTACGCACCAGAGACATATTTATTGCCAATAAAATAAAAATATCAATTACCTAATGCAAATATCAATTACCTAATTAATAAAATTCATACACCTTTGAAGATATAGATCTCTTCCAATTATAAGAAATTCACCTGAAAACATAAATATTAAAAACTTTTCTAATAAAAAGAACAAGATTGAGACCAGGGGTACAACTTGCATTACCTGTTAAATAGCCCAAATATAGTTTATTTAATATCAAAATTCATAGCAAAGTGCCATCTGCATCAGTCAAGAACTAGCTGAAAGACTAATGCATGGCAATGAGAGGACGTGAATGTGCATCAGCCATCTGTGTACTTCCTAATGTATCCACTCCCAAAATTGGATGTACTGATTCTGTACATCCAATTTTCAACCTAATCCCACCCTCTGCCCTGCTCTTTCTTCAGGTAGCTTCAAACTGGCACATAGGAAACTAAAAAAATAACAGGGAGAGGTTGTGTTTTAATCATCTTTTTCACCGATGTGACTAAAAGATCTGAACAGAACAATTTTAGGGGAGGAAAAGTTTTTTTGAGGGATTACAGTTTCAGAGTCCTTAGTTAAAACAAAACAGTTAGCTTCATTCCTTGGGACTTGAGATGAGGCAGAACATCAAGGCAGAAGAGTGTGGTGGTGGGAAGCAACTCACATGATGATAAGGAAGTAAAGAAAGAGAGAGACTCTAATCTCCAGATACAAAATATATACCTCAAAGCCACTTCGCCCAGTGCTCACTTCCTCCAGCCACACTCTAGACACCTTCAGTTCCACTCAGTTAATCCCTATCAGGGGATTAATTCACTGATTGGGTTAAGACTCTCACAACCTAATCATCTCTCCTCTAAACCTTCTTGCATTGTCTCACATTTGAGCTTTTGGAGGAGACTTCAGATCCAAACCATAAGAGAAACCAGAAAACAAAGACCCAGTCTCTAAGGAAGCAAATATCTGGTTGCTTCTACTGGAAAAGTGTAGGGAATGAGGAGATAGTAAGGACTATTGTACAAATACAGAGGAGGGATGCAATGGAAGATATTGACTGTGTTTGTTATAATGTGGTTTTAATCAACAAATATTGATTTAGTATATGGCTTGCTATGAGCATTGTGGAATATAAAGAAGTATGAGACAATCACTCCCCTGGAAAAGTTTTATTCTATTTTTGAAGTCAGGCCAAAACTTCACAGAGAATTAAGTAACGGGAGAATCAGAATATGAGAGAGTGCCAAGAGATGTTGGAACAAGTATCAAAGAAGTTCAAAAAGGGCAAAAGATAGGTATCTTTTAAAATAAGTACCTGACCTAAAATTTGGAAATTGGTAAAAATCTAGTTAGGTACAAAGGAGGAAGAAGGGCAACCTCACAGAGCATAGCCTAAGGCTCAGAGTTAGAACTGAGAAAAAACAGTCAGGAGACAGAGAACAGTTCAGTGTAACCAAAATAGCAAATTTCTACTGGCTAAGTCTTGGTTTTTGGAAAGCTTTGAATGTCCCATTGAAGAGTTGGGATTTTTTTAAAGAGTGCATTGAATTAATTCAAGGAAAGTAATGTGATTATTTTTGTATAAAAATAGACTTTAGAGATCATTTCACTATTGTTTCTCAACAGAGAAAGAATATTGGCATTGTGGGGCAGGACAATTCTTTGATGTGTAGAATTGTCCTATAAGCTTTCCATACCTTGCAGCTTAGCACCCATCCATGAAATGTCAGGAGTGCCCCTCCCCACCCATCATTATGACAGTGAAAACAAGACCAAAAAAAAAAAAAAAAAGCAAAACAAAAAGCCCTATGTTAGTCAGGATTCCTCAAAGAAACAGAATTGATAAAAGAGATGGATGGGTGGATGGATGCAGAGATAGATAGAGGAAATGAGAAGTGACTTATTATATTAATTGGTTAATCCTATTATGAACTGAGTAGTCCCATGAAATGCTATCTAAACAATGGGAAACCAAGAAAACTAGAAGCATACCTCAGTTCAAATCTGAAGGCTAAACATCTTTTGAATTATTCTTTAACTCACCTGGAAATTTTCCAGGAAAATTCCAGAATATAGTTATCAGGAATATAGGACTTATGCATAAAAAGATCATTATTTACCACTTTCACTTGCACTTTAATGCAGTGACATATCTGCCTGCAATTGTATTAAAGAACCAACAGCTGGACGCAGTGATGCTCGCCTGTAATCCCAGAGGTTCAGGAGGCTGAGACAGGAGGAGTATAAGTTCAAGGCCAGCCTCAGAAATTTAGCAAGGTTTTAAGCAACTTAGCAAGACCCAGTCTCAAAATAAAAAGGGCTAGGGATGTAACTCAGAGGGTAAATGCCCCTGGTAGAGGTTGGGAGAGGCTCTCCTAATAACTTCCAAATGGAATTGGACATAGATAAATGCAAAGAGTATAAAGAGCTATGAATATCAGGTCTCATCTCACCATAGGTAAAGAAATCACTGAAGGTTAACAAATTTGTCTTGTTTTTACTATAGTTAGCAATATCAATTAACATTAATAAGGAAGGATAAGCAGAACACATCATTTTCACTTCTTTTACTACCTTATCTTGGTTGGGTTAGAAAATCACTAGTTAGAAAATTTCTGGAAGCTATACACAGAAAAACTCAACAAAGATTGCTTAAGGAAAATTCAAGGGTCTGGAAGGAGGGAGAAACATTTCACTGCGAAACAGAAATCATCTTTAGTTATTCTTTGCCATGAGTTTCTTGGACATCAAAAGTCATTTCACTGGCTCAGCTGATATGGAGATGTCATTCAAGGTGCCTGCCTGTAGGGAAAATAATTTCTACATTACTTTCTAAAATTAGTAAATGCTCTCTTAATCCTTTATAATCAACACTTAATTATAAGTTTTCTTGGAAATTTATAAAATTCATACACCTTTGAATATAAACTTTCTTAATTATAAACAATATGTACTGGATACAGAAAACTTTAAAGAACTTGGAAGAACGTTTAAAAAATGAGCATAATTCCCCATCTGGAAGCACTCCTTGGTGCACATAGAAGGAAAAACTTTGATCATATTGTCTACGGTTCTGAATCCTACTTTACCTTTACAGTATACCTTATAGATAATTTCCACATCATTAAAATTATTCCATGAATTCTACTATGGTTCTACTATGTACATTATGTTTGTTGTCACTTTTGACATTATAGAAATACTGAACAACTCAAACGTAGATCTCTCTTTTGTTTTCTTAATTCTGAAAACTTTGTTAACAAACAAACAAAAAAAAACTAAAGATGGTGTTCATTCATTATTTTGGCCTTTCCTCTCAACTGGTTGATTTTTTTTTTTTAATTTAGGTCTCCAGTGTTCTCAGAGGAGCATTAACTGTTTAGAGTATTGTTAACCCAATCAGTCTAAATTCTGTAATTTTTAATCATGACTTTTAAAAAATACCAATATACACTTGCAAATTGCAATGCTGAAGAGAAGCTTGTGTACTAGCCACTGAAAACTATTTTCTTAGGATATATATTCTGTTTTGCCTGGGGAGTTCAATGTTTGCAATTTTCACATTTACAACTATGATTAAAGCTGTCAACATCAAAAGAA